CTCCCCGGATGTCCGCAGTGGCCAGGGCTGTGCCAATCTGAATCCAGGACCCCGGAGCTTCTTCTGAGTCTCCCATGTGGGTGCAGGGACCCAAGGACTTGGACCATCTTCTACTGATTTCCCAGGCCATAGCAGAGAGCTGGATCAGAAGTGGAGCAGCTGGGACTTGAACCGGCACCCATAAGGGATGCTGGCACTGAAGGTGGCAGCGGCTTTACCTGCTCCTCCACAGCATCAGACCTGATCATTACTTCAGTTTATATTTCTTTGATGACTAAGTTGAGCACATTTTCATATGCTTCTTGGCCATTTGAGTAACTCCTTTTGTGAGGTGCCTGTTCAAGTCTTTTCTGCTTAGCTTTTTCTTATTGACTTGCAGTTATTCCTTACATATTCTTGGGCCTTTGGGTATGGAGATATTTATTATATATATATATATATTATATAATATATTTAGTGTGGTTTTTCCATGTATAATTTCTATAATTTACCATGAAATGCTCAAATATGAAAAGTATTATACAACGAGTTTATCAAGATACAGATAGAACATTTGCCTCACCCCAGAATATCTCCATCACAAAAGTAAGCATTCATTTCTGTTACTCTAGGTTAATTCTTTATGTTCTAGAATTTATCTATAAATGTTTGTCTACAATATGTTTTTGTGTTCGACTTATCTTGCTAAGCATAGTATTGTGAGAACCTTTTAACTTTTGTGTATCAGCAGTTACTCTTTTTCATTGCTGAATAGTACTCCATGATAGACTCTACTGGTTTATCCATCCTCCTGTTGATGGACATCTGAATTTATTTCCCCTTTTAGCTATTACGAGCTTTCTTGTATGATTCTTTTTATGCATATAGCTCTCTGTAAAATTTCAGTGTGTCTTATTTTCTTTAATCACACTACATTTCCACCTTGTGTATTGTCCTCTAAGAAGTCCCGTTATATGAAAGTCTGGAGTCATGCTAGAGATACATGATTTACTTCATAAACGAAATTTTTACTAAAAAATTCATGATAGGATTCCATTAATTAGCTTCTCTAGTAGTTTAAATGACTCATAATGCAACTTCTTGGGAATACCACTGCTTATGTGGCATTTCATTTATATGGATTTTCCCTGTTTACCACTTACATGAACATGTATAGTTGGCTTTACTTTAGTTGTTTGTACTGTTGCTGATAGGGGCCTTGTCTTTTGGAGAAAGGAAAATTTTTTGATCAGATGTATCAGCCTCTCAAATAACTGTATGCCTTTTGTTATAAACAAGTCAGATCCTCTTGACATTGGGCGCAAGTGAACAATCTAAAAACTGCTATATTTACAGTAGTTAGAAACTGCTGTGGTAGAAAAATAATTTTGTGCTAGATGTCACATTGGGGGTGTGTGTAGTAAGACTGTGGTGAACTTAAGTAAAAGCAATGCTGCTAAATTGATGCACACCAATGCTTGTGATGTTACTTTCTATAAATATGTCTTGAAACATGAGACCTTTGATCCTGTTGCCAAAATAATGTGAGATCTCAGAAATTTTCTAATTATAAATGACAGTATTTTAATTTCATTCCATTGTCTCTTCTGTCCCACCCCATCCCAGCACAAGTGACTTGGTCATTACAAGCCACAGGATTGAATTAAAGCATACATCATCTCTGCTTATTGTGGGGAAAACCACAGCTGCTCGTCCCCCAGATAACTGGTTTTGCAAAGTCCAAGCAGGTTGCTCCTTCCTTTATTCTGTGCCTGACCAAATGATTCAAGTCACCTGTCAAAGCTAGTCTAGTAGAAGTAGAAGGTGCTTTTCTCAAATGGGGCATAAAGTTTGTTTCTTTAAGCCAGTTGTTTAGAGAAAGCTGTCAGTAAACAAGGTAAGGAATTTGGAATTCAGCTTTGTGTCTCTTGATTAATCTAGTTACCCACTGTATGTGAGAAGTTTAATATTAATTATACAAGGTATATGCATGTAGGGCAAGTGTGATGATAAAGATTATGCGTTAAGGTCATTTCTGACAGAAGTGTTTAATTTTGGAGTGACAGTTACAAATGGAATTAGATGTACCAGCTCTGTCTTGCACATTTTAAAATTCAAAATATCCACCTCTAGGTGGCAGCACTAGATACTTTTTCCCTGTTTCACTCCAGTCTTAATAAGTTGTGGTATAAACAGTAAAACTTTTAAGTCTACTGAAACTTTGAAATAGGCTGCTAGTAGCAATTCCATGAGGTTTTGGAAAAATTAACTTGTATGTTGAATACGTTTTCTGCTTATTTAAGTGTAGAGTTCTACCTTTTGAAAAAAGATTCAGCAGCAGTGATCCTTATTTTTTAACACAGCATTATATGTTTTCTTAAAATGGTATAATTTAGCTCACTTTGATTTGCTTGATGAAATTATAATTGTTAGCCCAAGAAAATCACTTTTTGCAGTGTTATTCTTGTTTTCAAGTATTTTGTACAAAGGTCATTTCATTATATACATAAAATTTTAAAGAAATCATAATGTCTTCTCCCTTTATGTGATATTTTTAACATTTCACATTGAACAGCGATCAAAAGAGTACTGAGATTAAGCCCTTTCCACTGAGAAAATTCAGCTCAAGAATAAATCTGAAGTGGTTGACTAAACCAGTTGGCTTTGTTACTTGCCATAGGAAGATTCAAGTCATTTGTAGAAATGGACATTTAGGGTAGAGATTTCTTGAGGCCTGATAATTTCTCACAAGTTATCGGACATTTCTCTTAAGTGGGAAGATGGCCTGTGCCCACTGTTGGCTTTCTTTGTGGCAGCCTGCCCTGGGCTAATGTGTACAGCTTTCTGCACTCAGGTGAACTGACTGAGCCTTGGCTGGTCGGGAGAGCTAGAGAGCAGCACCTGTTGGTCCCTTTTCACAACCCTGCCAAATTTATGTATGTGCAGGCCACCATTGTTTTCTTCCTTGATCTTAGGACTGTGAAGAAAGCTTGCCTCTTAGAAAAATCTTGTTTACTATTTATCTTCCTCCTTACTTTTGATTAGTATTGGCCTGGGAAATTCATTAATAATTATAGAGTCAGAAAAGGTGACACTGCTTTCTCATAATCTCAAAGCAAGACATTATGTGAATACAGTTGGGTTCACAACTGCAGTTTAATGAATTAGCAACAGTTACTTTCCACTACATAGGACAAATGGCCTCATTCACAGGCATGCTCTCTCAGTTCCTTTGCCTCTCCTTTTCTTTAAATGTGGCGTCTTCAAAAGTTCGTGGAAATCAATGCTAAAAGAGAACTCTGCATGGATTTCAAATTTTTTTACACCAAAATAAACTTATCTTTTAGCTCTGTTTTTCCACAGACTTTTTGAAGTGCTGTTATTTACTCCCACATATGTCACCAAGTTGTTCTTTCACTTAGGGGATAGATAACTTGTAAAATAAAAATGCATTAGTCTTGGGACAAAGTGACATATTAACAGTAATTTATGTCAATAGTAAAGAACTGCTTTTCAGATTGTTCTCATTGTGTACTCCTTGTTTGTATTATATCCTATCACTTTAGGAACCAGTTTAATTCTTATAACTTAACTGCATATGCAGCATGAGCATTTTTCATATATTTTTATATGGAATTAGTGTAGTGTAGATTAAATGATGTTCATTCACTATTCTGTGTTTTCATTCAAATGACATTTATTGAGTGCTTACCATGTAATAGGCATCATTGAACTTGTTTTATAGTATTTGATTTAAGTGAAACATATCTGCATTTTGGCAATGAGAAATCCAAGATTTTGTGTCTCACTCATCTTATTCTTTATTCAGTATCTTTCTAAGGTCTAAGAGTCTGTCCCAAGTATTTTTATAATTACTAGATGTCACTTGACAACTGCCCAAATATGATCTAGGATTTCATCATTGAATTCTGTGTGTATTTATTAGATTATCTTCCTAAGCAGCCATTGATAAATGTAAAACAATTTTTAGGTATTTTTGCTGTTTTGAACTTTTTTTACCCAGTGACTGTTTTATGTTGTTTATTTACCTTTATACTAAAATAAATACTAAATACAATAACTTTCCTTAGATTTCCGAAAGTCCAAGGTTTTAGGAATTGCTGAGGGATGCTTTCAAGAAAATATTATAAGCTATATGGTATAGAACAATTATCTTTAAGTATAAATTCAAAAGTATAATTTGACACATAGGCTATACCCAGGATAAATTAAATGTGATTGGCCTAAAATTGTTTCTTTTCTTTAAATAGCTGAGGAAACAAGACAACATAAGCTATGTATTGATTGATTTCTGGTGTTGTTTCATTTGAACTATGAAAGGTGTATATGTGGTTTCAGGATTATCTGTCACATTTTGGCCTATCTGCTCTCATATACTCTCTAGATTCATTTTTGCTTTTGCACATATTTTAAATTTCTCAGTTCCCAATAAAACCTCCGCATCCCCTAAAAAAAGGCATGTTGTGTTTTGATTCTGCTACTGAATTTTAACCACTGAATTAGATTGCAACCTACATGCTGTTAACTACTGAGCCAAGACGAAATCGACCACTGCATTGAAATCAGGGTTAGCAGTTGTATCTGCACTTGAAGTTCTTGTAGTGGCAGTGAACCTGTTTTCTTTAATGGGATTTTCATTCTGATCTCAGTTCTAATGGTGGCACTTGGATTTTAGGGGTATTCGTTAATAATAGTACACAATTATTTGAGATTTTTCCAATGTGGCGTTAAGAAAATAATTTCAAATATCCTATAGAAGTACTTGCTCCTGAACATGAGTGCCTGCTGGCACATTCTGCATTGCATTGTTGCAGTTATCTGTTTTATTTATAAAGTAATCTCTTATAAAAAGAGAAGTCATTTGTCCATGTGATCTTGAGTTCAAATGGTTGCTTTATGTGTATGTATGAATTTAAAATCATTCTTTTATGAGAGCTTTCTTTTGGGTATTTTTTGGATGAATGTTGTTCTGAATTTGCTTTTTTCATTTACATTAATAGGCCTCGACCCCACCCAGTTTAGAGTTTCTCATTATCATAAAGATGAAGAGAATGATGCTTTACTTGGTGGCCCAGCCCAGCTCACTGATGAAGAGAAATACAAGGACTGTGAAAAATTCAAATGTCCATGCCCTACATGTGGAACCGAGAATATTTATGATAATGTCTTTGATGGTTTGGTTAGTTTCTTTTTGTTTCCTCCTTTCATTTTGTAGGCAAACTAATATGATGGTCCCTTGTCCCCCTTCCCACAAGATAGAGTATATAAAAAGGGGGAAAAACACATTGCTTTCAGTGTTTAAAGAATTTTAGCATCATATAAATTCTGCCTTCGTAACTTCTCATTTCTGCTTAAAAACTCATCGTTGCATGTGCTTGAATATGATTTTTGTCCTCCTAGGGTTCTTGACCTTGATTCTCTAATGGAATCTCTTAAAAATTCTAAAGTTATCTAAAGTATTTTTATTATAATTCCTTAATTAGTAACCTGCATTTCCCCACTCCCACCCCCATTTATTAAAACTGAGAGCAGTATTTTCCTTTATCTTAAATCAAGTTAATGGGAACTAAGTGTTTTTGGAAAGTTTTTGTGTATCTTTCCGCATCCCACTTACCTCCTTTTTGACAAAGGTACTCTTATTATCTTTCCTGCTGTCTTCACAAGTCACAGGGAGACATTCTTCTCAAGAAGTACTGCCAAAAAATGTATCATTGACCTTGTATCAGAACTTGAAACTTGGCCAATTTACTTGATTCCCCTGCATGTACTAGCCACTGGCAAATGAGTAGGCCGCAGAACTGTGTAAAACCTTGAAACTGAAAGAAAAGACGTCCTTTATCTAAATTAAAAGTAATTATTTTAAGTTAATTTGGACAAACAGCAGATGTTTTGCATTTTTTTGAATCAAAACAAAGCAATCTTTGGAAGCAAGTGCAAGGAAGAGGCAGACACAGATCAGCAATAGTTGCTAAATCCTTGAGTTTTGCTTCATTACAGCTGTAAATAAGATAGTTAATTGCATGGAGGCTTGACGACTTGCAGATGGGCTAACTGTGGAAGAGCCGATGTCAAGCTCTAAAATCTCTTCCACCTGGAATTGCTTAGCATGGTGGGTAGGGTTATGTACCAGATTGGAGCAGGAAACCAAGATGTTTAAGTATCAAGAAGGAAAACAAATGCTCCAGAAACCCCAACAGTTTTCCTGTATATTATATTTGCTTTGTCTTTGTTTAAAGCAAAACACAACAAAACACTTTCTTCAACTACTAATAGTTATTTCTTTCAAATTTCTATTCCTGCCTCTTCCCTTCCTTCTTCCAAATACAGTTTTCAATTTTTGGAAAAATTGCAGAAAGTTTTAGATTTTTCTGTAATAAGTGATAATGCTTTTGTGTTGCAATACTTTTGACCTTTAGGCTTTAACCTTGAAATTAGGTTGACAAGATTAAAACAAGCTAATGTCATCTGGGTTCAAACTTGGAATGAATAAGTACGAATTTAAAATTTTGATCAATATCTATATGAAGGATATATATTTCCAGAAAGACGACTTCCTGTTTTTTTTTTTTTTTTAAGGAAGAATGATTTAATCCATAGATTTTGTCATGTATTGAATATAGAATAATGATTTCAGGGTTTTTCCATCAACTTTGTATTCCATTATGACAATGACAAGAGACTGGAAGGACTGGAAGGTATGTCATTAAAGCAGTGTTTGGGAGGAGAGTAGTTAAGAAAATAGGGTTAAAAACTCTGCAGAAAAATGAATAGGAAGATTGCATATGAAGACAGCGTGTCAGTTTTTAAGCACAAAAACCTTTTACAACCGTGCAGTAACCTCTTGTATACTTGTCTGTCTGGACTTCTGTAGGGAGCCGATATGGAGCCCAGTTTGTATCGTTGCAGTAACATCAACTGTAAAGCTTCACCTCTGACCTTTGTGGTACAGCTGTGCAACAAATTGGTCATGGACATTAGACGTTGCATTAAAAAGTACTATGATGTAAGTATCCGTTATCAGGTTCTTACATACACAAATTTTGTGGTTTAATACTTGTTTCATTTATGTTTTTATGAAAATGTAAAATTTTAAAATATAACCATGAAATGTTTTTTGTTTGTTGTTAACTCAGTAAGACTAAGTCGTCACTCAGACCTTCAGACAGAAGAAGGAAAAGCTTCAGTGTTGCCCTTATTTGTCAAGTAGAGCTGTAAAGTCAAGTGTATAATATTAATAAGCTGCCTACTAGCTTGTAGCTTGTACTCTGTATTTCGGTGGCTCTTGAGACCACTTATGCCAGATTATCTGGGGGGAATCAGAATAAACGTATTCTAAATTTAAATGTAAATTTTTCATTTTTTGAAGAAGGTTTATTTATTTATTTGAAAGTGAGTTAGAGGGAGAGAGAGAGAAATTTTTTTTCCATCCACTGGTTCACTCACCAAATGGCTGCAATAGCCAGTGCTGGGCCAGGCTGAAGCCAGTAGCCAGGAGCTTCTTCTAGGTCTTCCCCATGGGTCCAGGGCCCCAAGGGCTTGAGCCATCTTCCACTGCTTTCTCAGGCACAGTAGCAGCGATCTGCATCAAAAGTGGAGCAACTGGGACACGAATCGGCATCCATATGGGATGCCAGCATTTCATGTGACTGCTTTATATGCTCTGCCACAGTGCTAGCCTCAAATTTTTCATTTTTAAAAGAGAATGTCTAATTTTTATAAATATATAGTAAAAAAAAACCAGAACAATGAGTGAGCTGTCTTCATCAGAAAGTTTTTATTCAAAGTTTTTTTTAACATTTCATATGAATGAATTTTTTCTCTTAAGAAATTAAAATAAAAATTAAAAACAACTCCACATTTCCCATTTGATTTTCATTTTGTCCTTTAAACCAACTCTCTGTTACTTGAAAATTCACTGTATTGGCAAGGCAAATTCCCCCTCCCCCCAAAAGAAATGCTCAAAATCTATTAGGTAAGATCCATGACTTTTTTCAGTAAGTTTCTGTTTATGGTGGTTAACATTGAACAGCATTTTCTTCTTTAAAATAGAACTTAATATGTAAAAAGCGAGTATGAAATCATTCTAAGGACAAGTAAAATGTAGAGTTTCAGTGTTGTGATATTGGCATAGAATAATTTATATCTGTCAAAGCAGCAAAATATATTTGAAGATTTTTTAAAAAGTAATAATGATTATGACTGCATTTTAGAAAAATCTGAAACATTTTGTTGAATAATCCTATGCTGGACTTAATGAACAGTTGGATGGGAATGAAGGTTATCTGTGGGGTCACATTCTGCAGCAGATGAAGCATTCAGCACATGAAATGGGATGCCTTTATTTAGCGTGAAGAGTCCGAATCCAACTATTCAGCCTCTTGCTTACAGGCCTCTTTGAGTAGAATATGATTCTTAACTCTTGGGAAGAATCCTGAGTTTTTTCTCTGTGTTTAGTCTATCAAAATCACCAGGGAAATGTTAATACTAAGAGAAATTCATCTGTTCCCTTCTTTGAGAAAGAACAGTTGTTTTGACTAAGTTGAAAATAGGCAGGAAAATGGTCTGTATAACTAGAAATGTGCCCTGACTGAAAGAGTGATTTCTGTCCTAAATGTGTGCGTGTGTTGTAGATGATGTTGCAGTGGTGATGTAAGTATTTTTCATGCTGAATAACTACTCTTGGGGAACCAGATACTTAACACAAAGGTTCTTGAGTATCTGTCTTGTGGACCAGCCATCTCATTGAGAAGTAAGAGTTTGCATGTAGATAATTGCCCCTTGATTAACCTTTCTGAGGGATTTGGAATCAGGATGGCCAAATGTCACTTGTGATGTTGAGGCTTGATATGACTGGCCTCCAAATTAGGAAATTATTTCTCTACTTTTTGATCTTAACCATGCGTGGTTGGATGAGAGAGAAAGAAATCTGTTACTTGTTCTTTTCTTGGCTCCATGTTGGTTAAATGTTGAAAATATTTTCAAGAGCTGAGCTTTCGTACCAGAAGCTGATGCAACTCTAGTTTCTGATTTGTTGGTAGACCATTTCATTTCCTCCTGCCTCTGGACTTAGAGAAGTTTTTACCAGTATAGGTGCATGGCATGGATACTGATGGCTGTTACTTCAGTGTGATATATATCCTAGTGATGGCATTCCAACTGGAGACTGATACACAGCTGTACTGGAAGCAGGATATTAATAGTGAATTCTAAGATTAAATGACTGTTCTCTGAAGCTAGGTACCAGAGTGGTTTGCGCCAAGTTGCAACATTAAAAATACTACCCACAGTCAAAAACGTTGTGACTAAGGGCGGGAATGTTGGTATTTATTTTTTTACTTTAATCTTAGAATTGTTGGGGGCCGAATACAACCTATATTAATAAAGGAAAGCCTCTCCATATGGGAGGAATTTTAGGAAGATAAGTCGAATATGATATTGCAACATTATAAGCTGCCATGGAACATTGTTCTAGATGACTAAGAAATCAAGTTGTCTATAATAAAGGTGCAGAGATTTGAACTAACAAAGTGTACTTTTAAGTCACTTTTTAAAAAGATCTGTTTCTTTATTTGAAAGGTAGAGTGACAGAGGGGGTGTGTGTGTGTGTGTGTCTGTGAGATAGAGAGAATCATTCTGTATGCCGCTTTGCTCCCCAAATGTCCGCAACAGCCAGAGCTGGAGCAGGTTGAAGCCAGGAGCTGGGACTTCAATCTGGGTTTCCCGTGTAGGTGGTAGGAACCCAAGTATTTGGAAGGAAACTGGATCCGAAGCTGAGGCAGGACTTGATTCGTTTCTGGATAGAATGTGGGTGTCCCAGGAGGTGACCTAACTAGCTGTGCACAAGATCTTCTAAATCACTGTAATTTTGGAAAAATATATATCCTTGTTATCTTTTGTGTTATCTAAGTAGTCCTGGCTGCATGTGATATAACAAATATTTTACAAGTTCATGTCTCTCAGAATTGATCTGTATGACATTGTAATGTTTAGCATTGACTCC